AATTGAAAACACTACTCTCTAAAAAAAAAGGTATTTTAAAATACGGAAAATAGTATAACCATTTGAACCATAACATAACTGTTTAAACGTTTTTTACTTTTATCAGAGAACCCTTTTGAGATTTTTAGAATACGAAAAAGCCATGATTTAAAAAACTCTAAATTCCTTTGGTATTTTAAAATACCTTAAAGGTTTTTTTATGACATGAAGAAACCTCAACCGTTTTTCAGAACATAATTTAGCCGTATTTTAGAAAACGAAAATTAGTTTTTTAATAAAAATAAGAAACTTTTAAACACTTATGATATAGTTCAAATGGTTAAATCCTTTAAACGTTTTTAACGGGTGGTTATACCTATTTTTTGGTTTTTCTGAAATGGCAAATATTTTTTAGGATTTTTTGGAATACCTTTTTCTTTTAGAGTGTAGAAATAGTGATAATCTCAAAAATATAAAATTTCTCAAAAAATTAATTTTTTCCTTGATGAGGCACGATGTTTTCAGAAGTCAAACGATGGTATCTGCAGTCCAGGCACTCCTGTTTCAAACCATATGTCAAACTACAAAATCCATTGTAGCATTACAGAGAAATTTTCGGAATACTGAAATCCATGGAAACGTGAAAGTAGTTGAACGCCCGAAAAGTTTTCGAGGGCTATTTCTGTTCTAGATGACTTTCAGAAAAAAAGAAACATATAGTCTTACTCAGTTTGAAGAGTTCTGTCGAATGATATATGTTTCAATCAAATCAGTGATTCGACAGGTGCCTACCTTATAAGATACAGGCCGGTTTTTTCATGGACCGTCTCTTAAAAAGCATCAAGCAACATTGAGAAATTTTTATGCTCAATGTAAGCACTTTTAGTCAAATAATCCAGAAACAACACAGGTATCATCAACATTTTCCTCTTATGCAGAAGTGAGATAAATTAGTTAATATCAACTTTAAATCAACAGTACATTTTGAAATAAGTTCATATTGGGAATCAAAAGCTCCCTGACATCAAATTACTTCGTGATTTTGTGAAGTATGCTATATCAGTCACTCTTGATCTTTATTTAGAATGTTTGGAATACGAGAGTAAATGAAGATCGAGAGTGAAAAAGTAATAGATCGAAACTATCTCTCAACAGCAGAGAAAACGAAAACAACTAAAGAAACGTGCAATTAAATAGGCAATATTGTGCAGTGTGTAATTGTTTTTAGTTAATAGCATTTTCCTATAGTATGTAGGATTAAATAAAAATGACGAAACAAATCAAAGGCAAAAAGGGTTTGTAAAACCACTGTCAAGTTCTTTTTGTCAGGTATCTATATTTTTGCATTACACCGGTTGTCACAGTAGAGGAATCAAGCATTATATCAAAGTGAAAAAAATAAATAAAGTGCATTTAGAGTCGGGGAAAAGTGCTTTTTCGTATTCAGCATACTCGATAACCCAGAAGATTTTCTATTCTTGGAGAGGGGTATTGCCAAAAATTTAAGAAAAATTTTCAAATAAAATGACGAAAAGAAATTACCATGCGAAAATAATATTAGTTTCAAAAGTTTTCGTAAACTTTTGGTAGTACCCCTCGCCAAGAATAGAAAATCTTTTGACCTATCGAGTGTACTGAATACGAAAAAGCACTTTTTAACGACTCTAAATCAACTTTATTCTTCTGTCGGTGATATGAGATTCTTTTTTTTCTGTTGGTGATTGGATTAGGTACGTCTCACTAAGTGAGGCATTGCAAAATTAGAACTTGCAAAACTTCTAAATAGTCGCAAAAAAATCAAAAACTTTCTTAAAAAATGAATATGTGGTTCTCAGCTGTACGTTATATCAATAGGACTAAGGTACTACCGGTAGACGTGTGGTGGTTTGATGTAGGCGTGTAGTTTGTTAGCTCAGCATTCATATCAGAGGTCTAAAGATACATTCATCTCGCCCAAGGCAACGTAGAACACAAGTCAGAATAGTTGTGTCTTTTTCCACTACTTGTGTTAGAATAGTGCGTGCGCGACCAGCTGGACATAACTACATTATCTTTGCACTGCTAAATTCTTATTACCACATCGAACCATCAGATATTTACTTGCGTATATATATAAGTAGATGGTAGGTAGTATGTTGTTTAGATAGATAGAACATTTTTCAAGCTGAAATGTTTTTCAACCATAGAGAACCTTTTGCTTTTATTGAGTTATTATCTTGGAAAGTTGAACTAGCTTAATTCGATTTACTCTTTTGCCTTTTTGTCTTCTAACATCCTTGAAATTAGCAAGCAGGTCATTTCAACTTATTTCAAAATGTACTGGTGATATAAAGTTGATATTAGCTAAAAATGCTCGCTTCTGCATAAGAGGAAAATGTTGATGATACCTGTGTTGTTTTCGGATTATTTGATTAAAAATACTTACATTGAGCATAAAATTTTTCAACATTGCTTGATGCTTCTTAATTTTAGCACTCATTATTCTTTTCTTGAATATAATTTTATAGACTGCAGTCGCGCTAATAACGATGCTGCGTCAATGAAATAATAGTTCGGCCTGTCCACGTAACTTGGCTAAAAAATGTGATTTCGTCACATTTTTTAACTTTTTAAAATGGTCGTAACTTTTTAACGAAAGTAGATAGAACCTCAAAAAAAAATTCTGTTCGAAAGAAATTTAGAGGTTCTTCAATATTGGATCAAAGCAAATTTTTGAAAAGCTTCCTCTCAAATGCAGTTACCGAGAAAGCGAAGCACACTACTCAGTTTTCGATTTTTGGAGAAACTTTATAGGATTCTGCGAGATCTTTTAAGAGGAAGCTTTTCAAAAGTTTACTTTGATCCAGTTTTGAAGAGCTTCTAATTTTCTTTCCAATGGAATATTTTTCGAAGTTCTATCTACTTTTGTTAAAAAGTTATGACCGTTTTAAAAAGTTAAGAAACGGAATCACGTGTTTTAGCCAAGTCATGTGGACAGGTCGAGTTTATTTTGTGCAGTTATAAATTTTCATGATTATTGACTTGCAAATACGATATGAAATTGTAATTACACCTGTTACCTGTCTAGTTTGATTCAATCGCGATATCTTTATTAAGCCTCTATTTTGTCGACCGTAATCATAGAATGTAGTAAATCAAAATGAAAGGTGTTTCAATCATCATTGTTTGACATGATAGATTATGCGAAAATAGAAATAGATAGGTATTATTAATATTATATATTATATATTGTTGTGGTTTATCCTTATCATGTTTTTTTCTGTGGTTTGTCATCATTATCGCCACATATACAGAGAGAGATACAGGTGAAGAATGCAAGGTGCGAAATATGATTGAAACCAAATAGATGCTTGTTGAAGTCAGTAAAGAACAAATAATAAACAGCTTTCTCTCTACGGAACGGACATCGTAAAATTATACTAATTATAATAAAATCAATTATTCATATGAGTGATAAAAAGATGAGGTTCTTATTCTATGAAAAATAATTAGATTTTAGCTGTAATAGGTTGGCTCGAATCGCGGCGCTCTGCTCTACAAATCTATGCAGGTCTTTATTATTTTTGTTCAAGCGCTGTGTGCAACTTCTGGGAAATGTTCATTTTCTCTTTTTGGGATGTGATAACCTTGAAAATGAACGGAAACATCGGTCGTTGACGATATGGAGTCTTGTGACGCGTTTTGTTCTCCGAAAACGTTAGAAATCTGATAAACATTAGGTGAAATAACTCGTTGTGGGTCATTTTCAAATCACACCGCACACGATCATACTGTATACGACAGAAACATAGTTTATCGGATAAAAACTAATAAACATCTTGACTTTAGAGTTAACTGTTTCTATAGTTACGACCGTCTTTTTCAAACTTCAGTATCTCGTACCTCACTCCATGCCGTTTTGATTATCGACTACCGAAAATCACGAATCTCTATTACTCGCTTTTCTGCCAAAAGCTATTAAAAAACTGTTGTAGTCCGTTGTATTTTGAAAAGGATAGTAGTCGGTTGCGAAAATTATATTCACTTTTTATTATGCTTATTCTGTGACAGGGTATTTCCACACAAAACGAAAATGTTTATTTTCTAAAGAAAGATTCCCTGTTATATTCGATCGTTTGCTGAAACAAAGTTGATGTTGATAAAGCTCAACATACGGTCGTATGAAAACAATCTAAAACAGCACAGTTTACTGGATTAAGTAAGAGAAGAAGTTATCATTTCAATAAGCCATTTTATGAAAGCATTTCTCTCTTTTGCAAAAGCTTTCTAATATGATGATATTGAAGAGTCAGATACATAAACTGAAATCAAATATCGAAATTTGATGTTTCTGACGGAGTGCAATCTAAAAAAAATGAACAAAATCAAGCAAAAATTAAGACTGCGTTAAATATCAAAGAGATCAGATGATATTGTATTGTATTGTAATGTATGTACGGATTTGCTCTTCGAGTATAGGTGGTGAATACGCGGTATGTGATGCGGTATGTGATATGGTAGTTGAAAACATCGCTGTATCATTGATCTTCTCTCATGTTGACATCAATATTAGCCAGTGTCTATTACCTTCATCTTACATTACATTACTTACTAGATTATATCTTTTTTCTGCACTAATCATCTCTTGTTTGTCCTGTCTCTTCGTAGCAGTTAGAGGGAGAAAAGCGCTTGATTGACGTAGCTTTAATTTGTTAACCAATCATTCTTACCCATGTTGCTAATATTTGGTTTTACCTCATCCCTCCTCCTTTAAAAAAGTATGTTTACCACAGATAAAAAAAAATTAAATAAAAATATGTTTTTTACTAATAAGAAAAAAAAATCAAAAAAATCAAAAAGAAAAATATGATGCGTATGCCGCAAAATCAATCATACGCATCAGTAAGCAAACCAAGATGTGAAAAACAATGGCATATATATATATATTTAGTTATCTTCAAAGTAGAAGATCAACACTTGATTAAAGGCTTCGACGAAAACAACGCCGACCAAAAGAATAAGCAAGTATTCATACTGTTAAAATGTCAAATTACAGCTATTCATCTTATCAATCCTCATCTGGTGGTGGAGCTGGTGGATATGGGGGTTTCGATGTAGCGAAAGCCATGTTTACCCAAGCCGATGTCAACAGAGATGGTACAATCGACCAGAATGAATTTCAACAATGGGCTTCAGGTATTTTATTAATTATTATACATCAGACTTATATCTTTAACAGAAAAGTTTTGGTTTTTTATCAGATGCTGCTCATGGAGGAGCTGGTGGTTATGGTCAATCCTCAAGTGGATATGGATATGATTCTTCATCAAGTGGATTCGGTGCTGGTAAGTCGTATTCAATTATTATACACATCATACAAGCAGCGCCGTTTGTAGAAACATTTGAAAAACCGCGTGATGCATCAGTGAAGGGGACCTAAAGGTTTACAATGTAACTGAACAGCTCAATGGTGGTGGTGGTGGTGGTGGTGCTGGATACGAGAGTTACCAAGGTGGTTTCTCCGGCGCTGGAGCTGGTTACGCAGGACAATCGAGCTACGAAAGCGGTTCCTACTCATCGGGAGGTTATGGAATCGATTGTTCATATGTTACGTGATCGTGTGTATCTCCTACATCTGACGTTTCAAACCAAATTTCCATTCTAGTATTAATGATATATATAATATCTGAAGTTTTTCTAGGTGAAGCCGATTTATCTGGAGGCTACGCTGGATCCGGCTACGGATCCGGAGCAGCTGGATTTTCTGGTAAGCAATTTGTCTGTGAATAACGTTGAATTCTTTTTACGATTTATACTAATTTTTTAGGTTACGATTCGTCATCTGCTGGCTATAGCAGCGGAGGAATCAGCGGCCATGGAGGAGTCTCAGGCACTGGAGCTGGAAGGCACTGTTTTATTACTACGTATCATTTTATATATTTCACACTAATAATAGATCACGATGATCAACTTTGTATGAAAAGTGCGTTATATATGAATACTGCCAAGGGTTTGGTGGTTCATCATCATATGACAGCTCAGTCTATTCATCTCAGGGTCAGGGTTTCGGAGGTGTCAGTGGATCTAATCTTTATCAAGACTCTAACCCCCAAATCATTCGTCGACCAGCACCCNTTACGATTTATACTAATTTTTTAGGTTACGATTCGTCATCTGCTGGCTATAGCAGCGGAGGAATCAGCGGCCATGGAGGAGTCTCAGGCACTGGAGCTGGAGGGTTTGGTGGTTCATCATCATATGACAGCTCAGTCTATTCATCTCAGGGTCAGGGTTTCGGAGGTGTCAGTGGATCTAATCTTTATCAAGACTCTAACCCCCAAATCATTCGTCGACCAGCACCCGGTGGTGGAGTAACCTATAAACAAAATATTTTGGTTCGATTCTTACAACCACCACCAATTCCACCCCCAGGCGTAAGTTCTATTTGTTTTACTTATATTTTTAATGACTGTTGATTCACTAATAACGGTCGTGTCCACATAGCAACCTCAGTTGTAATAGTAATATCACAATACGTCTAGTAAAACCCTCAATCTTAAAGAAAACATCATTTAACGAGATACAAAACTATCATGTACACAACTATCATATACACAACTATCACGAAACATATAAGCCTAGGTTAGAGCTGTTTTATAAGTCACCATTTTTCGAAATTAGATAATCGAGAATATTCTCAATAGTTCAAACCAGTCGAACACTATACCGTACTTTGTTTGAAGTCAGTTTCCAGTGTTATGATGCGTCTTATTGAAACTAATAATTTCATTTATAGCCACTCATCATCAGAGAAGTTAGACCACCACAGCCTCCAGCGCTACCCCCGCTTCGCATCAGACAACAACCACCACCTCGTCCAGCCCCGTAAGTAGCATCAATATTAATTGAAAGTTATTTATTTTAACGTTGAGAGATTGTATTGTATTAATTATATTCAAACTTTATCGTGAATCATGAGCATTTGTTCCTCATTAGAACTTGTATTAAATAATATAATAAGGATTTCATCTGGGAAGATGTCAGTATTTAAATTGTTGTTATTATTTTAGACCCCCACTCATTCTTCGTGAGCGACCACCTGTCCCACCTGCATCACTGACTCAGAAAATAATCATTCGCCGTTTACCTGCTCTACCAGTTCCGCCACGATCAGTTATCATTGAACGTCTCCCACCTCTTCCACCCAAACCACGTAAGTGATTAAAAGTCATTACTTTGATACTCAAGTTTCTTCTGACAACAAAATTCAATGCAAAAAAAGTCTTGAAATATTCTATTGAACTGTTCACTCATGCTTAGGTGATATCATCATCGAGCGATGGATTCCTTACGGACGTCAAGCCAAACGTCGTACCATTGTTCAACGTGCTAACGCCGCTCAACAATACGCAAGACCACGAAATATCATTATTCAATATGAACCAATTCAAGCTCGTGTCGTTAGACAGTTTCAACGACTCGGAGTTCAACAAGAAAATCCACAAAGTTATGTTCAACGCTATGGTGCTTCATTACAAGATGCTGCATCCTTGTTACAAGCTGCACGTCAAGCCGGTGTTGTTGAAGATATCTCAGTACCAGGTGGAGCTGCCATTGGATT